CGGAGGTTTTGGTGGTTGCGGGGGTTTTGATGGTTGCGGGTGCGGTACGGGTGCGGGATTTTGGTGATTGCGGGTCTTGGTGGTTGCGTTTTGGTGGTTGCTGGTGTGGGGTTTTGGTGGTTGCTGGTGCGGGGGTTTTGGTGGTTGCAGGTGCGGAGGTTTTGGTGGTTGCGGGGGTTTTGGTGGTTGCGGGTGCGGTACGGGTGCGGGATTTTGGTGGTTGCGGGTCTTGGTGGTTGCGTTTTGGTGGTTGCTGGTGTGGGGGTTTTTGGTGGTTACGGGTGCGGGAGCTTTGGTGGTTGCGGGTATGGGGGTTTTGGGATTGGAGTGTATCCTCGCTTCCACTGGAATGATTAGTATATGAGTATTACAGATGCGGTATTGCGGCCACCAAGGCATTTGAAACATATAGTGCTGGCATTTACAAAGAGGAAACGGATGAAGAAATTGATCATATCATATCTGTTCATGGCTGGGGTGTCGATCATGACTCCGGTGTGGAGTACTGGATTGGTCGAAACAGCTGGGGAACTCCATGGGTATGCCTTTTAAATAATTCGGGGACCATCCAGCGGGGAAGGATATGTTTGGTTCCCAGTTCGAACAGGGCGGTTTGGATGAAGCGTCATGTAAAAATAAAAGAGTTTGCACAAATAGTCGTCGGATATATATATACATAAATATATATACGCCTTTGCTTGAGTACCATGCGTAGCTTGGGGCTGAATTTGAAATAATGGCTGTACTAAAAGATGCGAAAATTTAAGAAGCCGAGCCTATTGTCTGAGAGTTTCTTTTATTTATTTATTTATTAACATTTATGTGACTAGCGTGGACAAAATATGACCATACATGCTCCTCACCTTGTAATAAGTTTGACCACGGGGTTTGACCATAATTACAGCCATTAGAAGGCCGAATCGTAATCTTAAAACAAGAGAACGGTCTAAAGTAATCAAAATGTGGAACGGTCGAAGTCAGGAATTTAAAACGAAGGATGGGATGAGTTTGTTACAATAGTTACGGCCGCTGGTAGGCCGGACTGCAGTATTTAAAATCATTAGCGACACGCACCGGGTGGGCCCGTGCGATCATGCGTTTTTGCGGTATTGTGTGCAGTAATGAGATCGCTCGGAAACCTACTAGCTAGAATGTGTGAGATACTGTTGCTCAAAGTTCGGGAAGTCAAATATTATGCGGCACTTGCACAGGGAACATTCCGTTAAATTTTCAGCTTTCCAGTTTTCCTAGTTCCCGAGTTAGAAATTCTCCTGCCAAAAATTTTCACGGGGCCGTACGTGAGAGCCACAGACGCCCGGAGGCTGAGTTTGATAAATTTCAATTGTATATGAACTGGGAACATCTCCTTAAAATTTCAGCTTCCTAGCTTTCTTGGATCCCAACTTAGCGATTTTCCTGCCAGGAACCTTCAGCGGGCCGTACGTGAGAACCACGCATGCCTGGAGTCTGACTTTGAAATCTTTGTGTTCCATTTGGACGGGGAACATAACTGCAGAGTTTCAGCTTTCTAGCTTTTCTGGCTCACGAATTAGCGATTTTCCCACCAAAGCTTTGAGGCGCCCATACGCAAGACCTAGACGTGCATGAGGGTCGGTACCGCTGTCCTGGGGTGGCACTTGGTCGGGGAACCCACTTGCAAAATTCTGGCATCAGAGCTTGTTTGGGGGCCCAATTGAAATACCCGACGCACACGCACGCACGCACGCATGCAC